CAGAAGCCCTGCCCACGAGAGCTGACGGGAAACAGGGACGAAGGGACACATCTAGGGAAACAAAGCGAGCGACCAGGATGAACCGAGAGATCTCTGGGATCAATGGGGTGGCCTTAGAAGGCCTCTTCGGGCCATCCCTGGGGGCCGCGTGGGGGCGAGGGGAGGAGGAGGAGGAATAATAGGAGGAGGAGGAGGAGGAGGAGGAGGAGGAGGAGGAGGAGGAGGAGGAGGAGGAGGAGGCCTCTTGGGCGCCTCTTGGAGCACTCCAGGGGCCTCCTTGGAGTTTCCTGGGAGCCTCTTGGAGGGTTGTTGGAGGCCTTTGGGGGCTTCTTGGGGGCCTCTTTGGCCGTCTTAGAGCGTTCCTGGCTTGTCTGACGCCGTTGGAGGCCGTCTTGGGGGCCTGTCGTCTTGGGGCCTTTTTGGGGCATACCAGGGGCTCGTAGAAGCCATTTTGGGCGTCTTGGAGGCCTCTTGGGCCGTTTTGGGGCCGTCTTGGGGTCCTTTGGGACCGTCATGGGGCCATCTTGGAGGCCTCTTGGGCGATCTTGGGGGCCTCTTGCGCCGCCTTAAGCCGTCGGAATGCCGAGAAGAAGCAACTGCCAACATCTGTTTAAACAAAACCTTAGGACAATCACAGATTTTGGCCTCTTCGTGCCCTCCTGGAAGACCTCCTGGAAGCCTTTTTGGGCCGTCTTGGAGACCTCTTGGGGGCCTCTTGGGCCGTCTTGCGCCATCTTGAGGCCATCTTAGGCTGTCTCGGGTGCATCTTTCGCCTTGGAGGCATCTTGAGGCCATCTTAGCCGTCTTGGAGGCCATTTTGGCCGTCTTGGAAGCCTCTTGGGCCCTCTTGGGGCCGTGATGGGGGCCTCTTGGGCCGTCATGGGGCCATCTTGGAGGCCTCTTGGGCGATCTTGGGGGCCTCTTGCGCCGCCTTGAGCCGTCGGAATGCCGAGAAGAAGCAACTGCCAACATCTGTTTAAACAAAACCTTAGGACAATCACAGATTTTGGCCTCTTCGTGCCCTCCTGGAGGACCTCCTGGAAGCCTTTTTGGGCAGTCTTGGAGGCCTCTTGGGGGCCTCTTGTGCCGTCTTGCGCCATCTTGAGGCCATCTTAGGCTGTCTCGGGTGCATCTTTCGCCTTGGAGGCATCTTGAGGCCATCTTAGCCGTCTTGGAGGCCATTTTGGCCGTCTTGGAGGCCTCTTGGGCCCTCTTGGGGCCGTGATGGGGGCCTCTTGGGCCGTCATGGGGCCATCTTGGAGGCCTCTTGGGCGATCTGGGGGGCCTGTTGGGCCGTCTTGTGCCGTCGGAATGCCGAGAAGAAGCAACTGCCACAATATTTAAGCAAACACCTTAGGACAATCAATGGTATTGGCCTCGTCGGGCCCTCATGGAGGACCTTTTGGAGGCCTCTTGGGCCGTCTTGGAGGCCTCTTGGGGGCTTCTTGGGCCGTCTTAGGCCATCTGGAGGCCATCTCAGGCCGTCTTGGGTGCATCTTGGGCCGTCTTGGAGGCATCTTGGGGCCATCTTAGCCGTCTTGGAGGCTATCTTGGGCGTCTTGGAGGCCTCTGGGGCCGTCTTGGGGCCCTCTTGGGGCTCTCTCGGGGCCCTCTTGGAAGCCCTGGAAGGCCTCTTGGAGCCATCTTGAAGGCCATCGATCAAAGGAGAGATGGGGCAGCGTTCGCCCCCCCCCCCCCACCCCCAAAGAGGCCAACATGGGGCAAAAACCTGAGTACAACCAATGCTTTTGGCGCCCAGAGGGCTGGTGGGACAACTTTCAGCCCCCACTCCCAGAGAGGCCAAAATGGGGCCAACACCTTAGTAAAACCACTGATTTTGGCGCCCAGGGGGCTGGTCGCCCAACGTTCGGTCCCCCCCTAAAGAGGCCAAAGTGGGGTCAAAACCTTAGTACACCTCATGAGTTTGGCTTCCTCGCCGAGGCCGTTTTGGACGCCCTGACACCTCGCGGGGGGATCCGAAAAAGTCCAGGGGAGGGGTAAGGGGAGGGGTAAACCCCTCCCCGTAGGGGAAGAGGGGTATTTTGGAAGAGTGAAAAGGAATCTCGTTAGACCACCTGTCGCCCAAAGGGCTGGTGGGATGTTATTTTATTGACGGAATGTATGAATCTCGGAAGTCTGAGGGTTGGCGTCAGATGCTCATTTTGAGCCGAACAGCGTGGGACATAGAACATGTGTGTGTGTGTGTGTGTGTGTGTATGACGTTCTCTCGCTTCGGCCCTCCTTGCCTGCCTTGGGGCATCCCGGGCCCTCTTGGGTCGTCTTCGAAGCCTCGTGAGCATCTGAGTATCTGTTCAGGCCGTGTTGAAGCCATATTGGGCATATTGGAGTCCTTGGAAATTGCCAGGGACCGCGTCGGACCGCCCAAGGAGTCTTTGGAGCGGATGAGGGGGGGGGCGATGGAAGTGACAGGGTGTTGGTAGTAAACCAGAGTTTGGGGAATTACCAGACAGCACTTGGCATCATAGCACGCCGCATCGTGCTGAGGGGCACGGTGGTGGATCTTGCGTGATCATGCGCTTTCCAAAGGATTCGCACTTGCACGCCGCGTGCGTTGACGTGCTTCTGTCCATGTGCGTCCGTCGCGGGGATATTCTCGGCCTGCAGGCCCCTGACATCTCGCAAGAGCAGACGATCAAGCATCTATGCCTCGACACACAAGGTAGTGTGAAGGAGGCGATTGACACAGCGATACAGGCATGCTCGTCGGATGAGACGCGCGAGGAGCTCATGCGCCTGCTCGTACGCACGCAGCCGGTGTCAGTCGTGCTGGGGGTAGTTGGCGAGGAGGGCTGGCAGATCTTAGTTGACGAGGCCAGGTATGGACTTAGTTGGTGCTTCGACAGCATGGAAAAACAAGAGTTCCGGGAGTGTTGTACTGCCTTCTTCAAGGAGGTCATGAATCAGTGCCAGGAGCGGAAGGAGTTCCTTTCCATGCACAATTGGGTCCGGGGGGGCAGCTTCGACAGCAGGTACCACATGCGGGACAGGTTCGTGGTCATCGGCCTCCTGTTCGGCATTTCTACCCAGATCCTGGCACCGCTCCCTAAAGAGAAGGACGCAAACATGATCATTGCAGCCCTGAAGGCACTGGCGCTCCTGGACGGTATCGCTAGCTTCGGGGTCAAGGCCAACGCGGAGCTGGTGCGGAGCATCCAGGAGCTCGGCGGGAAGGCGAGCAGGGAAGCTTGGGCGGCTGGAGGCTACTCCGAGCTTTGGATGGAGTGCGAGGCGGAGTACGCGTCGGTGCTCGGGAGATTATTGCAGGGCTCGTCGAGGAAGGTCGCTGTGGGCTCGTACGAGAAGGTCGACTGGACCATCCAGGAGGCGTGCGCCATCGTCGAGCACGCCGCGTCATCGACCGAGTTCGACGGGACGCCCGTGCTTCACGCTGCGCTGTGGTGCCTAGCCCAGGTCTTCGAAGGAGCCTCTGGCTTCGGGGACTGGGACGAGATTGTGGGCAACGCCGAACGACAGGCCAGGCAGTACGCATCTTGGTCGAGGTCGTCTACTTGGGACTTGCTCGAGGAAGCAGATCGGCTCGTGCGCATCCGCTGCGGCGAGCGGCTCTAGAGACTTGACATAACATAAAGACGCGCGACATCGAAACATGCACTGGAAATGGACGTCCGAGCGATGGCAAGGAGAACGTTCTCCTCAGCATGCTTTTCCACTCACTGCAGTATTCCTCATCAATTTCACCTCTTCAAAAGCTGTGTTAACTAGGCCAGGGTGTAACATTTGCACTGTGGCCTGCCGCGCAGCGCGATCTGCGCAAGGCCGCTCGCGGGGAGGAGGGGTGGGACGGAGGTGAAGTGGCGGGGGCGGGACGGAGGGGGGGGGTAGGAGGAGAGGGTGAGGGGGGGCGGGAGGGGTGCCTCTTCGGATCCTCCTCCAGCGTCCCTCTTCTTGCTCTCCAGCCGCGATCTGCAACAGGATCGTGTGTCCAACATAGCAGCCTGCAGCGCAGCGCGACCTGCGCAACACCATTCCCGTTGATCGAGAACATCGCGACACTGTGCATACGCCGCGCATTGGCAATCCAGCGGCAGAGGGGCTTGCTATAGGTTATAGCGGCGCCATAGCCTATAGCGTTGCTCAACGATGTTGCGCTGGGTTCCCTAGTTGCTTAGGACTCAAAGTGCCGCTGGCCACAGCCCTGGTATATTTTTTCGTTGGGGGTAGCCATTCCCGCTGCGTGCGCTGGCGCAGCCGTGGTGAGACTCAGGAATGGTGCGTCCACGCCTCCCCACCTCCATCGAGGAGGCGTCGGAGCGATCGACCCCGCCACTTCTGAACCTCCTGGGCTGTCAGCTGGCCCTCGTTCCGGCCTCGCCGGCCAGGGCCTGCCGTGCGTTGCGTTGTTCGTGCGTTCCACCTAGGCCGCGTAGAGCTCCTGCAGGGCCGCGTGCCCACTCGTTCACTGCTGTGGACATCAACAGGAGATGTGGGAGGATGGAGGGATGAGCAGGAGCAGCAGCAGGCAGGGTGCTGGAGGAGGAGGAGGAGCAGGGGTGGGAAGAGGAGGAGATTGGGTGGATGAGACGGTGGCGCGCTGCCAGCCCCGTCGTTCACTGGGGGACGTGTTGTCGGCCACATTGTACAGGCGTGGCCCACGTCCGTGGCCACCACGTGCCTGGGCGTGCGACAGGTGTCCGCGCGTCCAAGCTCGCCGATGTGCACCGATGCGCATTCAGGCCTGTGGTCCGGCCCCGACCGTCTAGATTGTCACGATGGCGTCCGCGAGAATCTGCCCTCGTGTGTAGGAGACGCTGTCAGGCGATGGGGAACAAACACAGCAAGCATCTGTGCGCACAGCCTGCACGTGGAAATCGGGAAGACCTGGGGCTCGGATGATGGCTTTGTGCTCCTGCGGTCGGTTCACTCCTGGGACCCATCGCATTCTGCATCCATGCGCGGTCTCGACGCCATGCTCCTCTTGGTTCTGGCCGAGCGGCCTCCGTCGAAGGGGGAGGCGTTTGGCCCAAGCCAGCTCCCACTCCATGCGCGCGACGGAGAGGGCGACGAGGTTGATACATATCCACTGCTTCTGGCCAGGCCCACCCTCTGGGCTCAGGAGCTACGTGTATGCCTTCCTGGCCAAGCCAGGAGAACGTATACACCGCTCCTGGGCCCAGGATGGGCTTGGCCAGGGGCAGTGGATCTGCATAGATTGTGCCGCCCTAGACGGAAGAAAACGGGGTCGTCTGCGCGGACATCAGCGCATACGTTGCTTGCGCAAGATGGCGCGTGAGCGCCCCCGTCTCCAGTGCGGCGTGCCGCGCTGGCGGCCCGCGTTAGCTGCGGCGCAAGGCCGATGTGCCTTCTCTGGTGGGCCCCGTCTCTCTTCGTCGCGCACGCACGTGTGTCCTTCTCGGCGGCGAGCGAGGGTGGGAAGTGAGAAGGAGAAGACTTTCTCACAAGGCGGCGGACCTTTTCAGGAACCCTCGCGCTTTCTGAGAAGTTTTCTGTGTCTTCAGGGAAGGTTTCGAAAACTTCTCAGAAGGTCGGGGGACTTCCGAGCCTTCTGAAAAGGTCTGCTCCTTCTCACTTCCCCCCCGCGCTCGCCGCCAACTTTTGGCCTGCATGGAGCCCGTTTGTATCCCATGGCGATCACCGGCGTGACTGGGGGGGGGGAGGAGGCACTGGTCACGTCGCGATTCGCGCCCTGCGCCGCCTGGGAATGCTTGCTCAGGAATTGCTCGTTCCCAGACGGCGCTAAAACCAGATCGTGACGTGACCAGGGGCGGGGGAGTTGGGCTGGTCACGGGCGTTGTCGCGACGAATGGAAGGTGTGCTCTTGTGGCGTGGCCCTGCCCAGGCGAGCCCGTCGCCGTGAAGTCGGTCTCCGAAGGGGAGCCGGGCAGCCCAAGGGAGCAGGGCGCCCTGCTGGCGCAGTTCAGGGCGGAGGTGCAGATGCTCCAGGACGCTGCGCGGCGCCCCCCCACAGGGGGCCCAGACCTCTAACGTACCCAGACATCCGGCGTCCCGACGAAAATCTAGACCGTGGTTCTTCATTGCTTTCGGCTTTTCGGGGCCCTTCCCAGGCATCGGGACCGCAACAGAAACGACTTGGGATGAAAAACCGGCCCTGGGGAAGTGGTCGAGGGCTCGGGGACACGTTTCTCGAAAAAGTCGAGGCGCCTGATGTCTTGGTATGGGCAACAAAAGTATAGTCATCAGTTTTTCATCGTTTTTTCGGTCTCTGGCGTCCCTCGCCAACGAACAGAAGCGGCTCGGGATAGGAAGCGGGCCCTGGGAAGGGGTCCAGCTCTCTGAGGGTCAACGTTGAGAACGAACCACGACGTCGGAGCTTTGTGCCCCGTGCCCAGTGGCGCTCCCCTGGGGGTCGGCCACCCCTTCTGCTGGCCGAGGTGCGTAGGCAAAGCAGGCTGCGGCGTCAACTGTTGCTGCGCGTGCGCTTTTCAAGCCGTGCGGCGGAGGCGTGTGTGCGGGTCTCGGGGGCCCCAGGCCTCAATCAGCTTCAGATGCCCGCCTTCCGGTCCGAGAGTCGATGGCCTCCTGCAAGGGCCGCCAGGCCCCCCCCCTCGAGCTGGAGATCGGGGACGTCTCGTGCGGGACGTCGCGAAGGCAGTGGCACCACGCCACCAGGAGGCGCGACAGTGGTAGTGCTGATGTTTCCTTGCTCCTGGTCCTGGGTAGGCCTGGGACGCGCCTGGCCTGCCTATAGGGCGTCGGGGTGGTGGGCGTCCCTTCTCCCACATCTTCAACGTCTCCTGTTTTTTTCCCGAGCGGGGTCCCTTGGAGGGTCTCGGCGTGCACACCACGTCGTTTAGTTGGCCATGGAGCCAAGGAGCTCGGCGAAGGAACTCGGCGTACAGACGCTTGAGCATCCCAAAGTTCGAGAAGCTGGGGCGTCTCTACAGTGTAGAGACGCCCCAGCTTCTCGAACTCTACACTCTACACCGAGCTCCTTGGCCGACCAAACGACGCAGTGTGTACGCGTCGAGCCCCCCCCCATCCCCGGATCTCTCGATCCCTTCCCCGGGGACCGTCTGTTCGCCCGCACATCGGGCGTCGAGTAATGGGGGGGCGATGAATCGAGGGGGAAGGAAAGGTGCACCTTGTGTGCCTTAAAAGGGCCCCCTGGGATCCAAAAAGGGATACGAAAGGTGCGCGTTTTCCCTCCCCCCCCGCCCCATATCGCCCCCCCATTAGTTCACGCCCGACCCCGGGACCGTCTGTTCGCTCGCACAGTTTTTTTAGGTGATCGCGAAGCCCCAGAGACGGTCTCCAGGGGCCGAGCACTGCGAAACGCTTCTGCCGGAAGTCTCAGCCCCCGAGGCCTCGAATGCGTTGGAGACCCTGTATGCGGTCGAAACCGATGGTGAGGATGGGTATTCGCCAGTCGTTGGAAGTGGGTCTTTTTGGGATTCTCAGGTCCCCTATCTACTTTCAGCCGCCTTCCTGCTTCAAGGGCCAAGTGGTGTTCCCTCTTCCCTCCTCTTCAGGGGGTGGGTGGAACCCCAATCTACAGTCGGGGCGCTGAAGAAGGAGCGCTTTGCGTTGGGGAGGGGCTCCGTGTTCCTTAATTGTTTCACAATTTGCCTTCGGTTTTCCTTGGGCGATGAGAAATCGAAGTTTAACCTATGGAGAAAAAGGGGCCTCGTTCCTGATTTAGGGTTCCTTGGGTCAACGCCCCGACTGTACTTCAGGGCCTTCCTGCTTCATGTTTCTATCCACCTCTTCCGACCGACGAGTAATCTTCCCAAGGGTACCCTGGCACCCTTGCCGCTTCGGCCCATCCTTTCACCCCCCTTTGACGGCCGGCCCCGCTCGAAGAGCCTCGGCATGGGCGTACATGGAAGCATTGCATCCTCATCGCGCATCCTTTTGCTCTCGGTCTGAACTGATTGCAGAGAAAAGCGTTGCAAATAAAAACCTACTTGCAATCTCTTGCGGCTTTTATTTAGCTAGTTTCCTGGGGTCCACCTGGGCCAGCTCTTCGGGCTGCGCCCACCCGTGGCGACGAGGACCCCCAGAAGCGCCCACGACCTTCTGGAGCGATGGCGGCGTCGCCCAGAAGCCCCCATGCAGACCTCCGACGTCGGGCGTTCTGTTTGCGGCGTGGGCCGCCCGGGGTGTAGACCGTTTCCCCAGGAACGTTGACTCCTGGGGCCTGGAGAGGGTCCCAGGAGGCTGAAAGTAGCAAAAGCATGTGACAATCTGCGAACACTTTCCGTCGCGATGTTCGTCGCAACGTGAGGAGGTTTTGGCTCCCCCCACTGCTGGGTTAAGATGCGGCTCTTGGCAGGTTGGGCGTAAGGCGGCAGAATCCCGATAAATCCTGGGCTTAATCCTGGGATTGATTTGGGCTATTCATCTGGCTTCAATGACCTTTCAAGCGGGCTTAATGGCCCCTGCTCGGTCCTTATTACGGAGACCTCCTGAGCTGGGCCCCCTCGGCCGGACCTCCTAAGCTGGGCCTCACCGACGCTGCCTCCTGAGCTGGGCCTCCGCGGCTAGGCCAGCAGCTTGCGTAGCTCGGCCCCGCCGGGCTTCCTGCGTTGCGCCCGCAGGCTCTCAGCCAGCCCATCTCGGGGGCGCCAGCCGACGTCAGCAGCGACAGCTTCGCGGTTGACGACCCGGCGGCCAGGACCGATTAGGGGCTCGGAGGAGGAACAGGTACCGATGCCGCCACTTGGCCTCCCAGACAGGGTCCGAGTAGATCGGGTCGGAGGATTTCGCCGTACATCCAATGCATCGGCGACACGGCACGGTGTGGAGCCCGACTTTCTCCACGCTGGCGTCGCCGATGCGTCGCCGACGTCGCCGATGCATCACCGATGCATCGCCGATGCATCGGCGATGCAATGGCGATGCGGCGCGGTCCTCCGACACCATCCCACCCGGACCTCATCGAGCAGGCCCTAGGGGCTCAGAGGAGGAAGCGGCAGTGATGCTGCTACATCAGGCATGCTCGCGTCGTGAACAAATCGCGACGGGAGTTTTTTCCGCGTTTTTGTTCCCCGTCAAAAAAGGATTCGGGACCCTGAGTCTTTGTCTGACAAGGATACAGGGACCGACGAAAAGCTGGCCCGAGGGAATGGGTCCAGACTTTCAGGGGCCCCGTATTGGAAAGAAAACAAGACATTGGATCTGGGGTCACCCTTGCTTGGTTTGTTCCATTTTTGGGCCCCTGGGATGTCCTCGTCTCCACGGCTGGATTCGCTGTGAACTTCTAGTCAGAACGCAACCTGGGAGAGGCACGGGGAGCAGAGGTAGTGTCAGTATCTCTTGGTCTCCCCAGCGGCAGCGACATGGGGGAGTGGCTCAGGGTCGGCGGCGAACGAGGGGGGGAAGTGAGAAGAAGAAGGCCTTCTCAGAAGGCTGCGGAGCTTCTCAGAAGCCCTCTGGCCTTCTGAGCAAATTTCTGTGTCTTCGGGGAAGGCTTCGAAAACTTCTCAGAAGGCCGGGGGCCTTCTAAGAAGGCCTGCCCCTTCTCACTTCCCTCCCCCGGGCTCGCCGCCGGCGGGGGGAAAGCATCGACCCCCAATCGTTCTGTCGTCGTCGATCGGGGCCTGATGGCTTGTCGCCGCTCTATTGGCGATAGATCGCTGATTCCAGCTTGAGCCAGTCCTCCTCCTCCTCCTCTTCCTCCTCCTCCTCCTCCCCAACAGTTTCCCCTTCACCGTACCCAGGCCTGTGGGGCGAGCGCCGGCCGTTAGCGCCGCGAGAGCAACCAAATCTTTCAGTCGAGGCTTGTCGAGACTTCTAGGTCCTGAGGTTTTCGAGCGCTTCGGGTTCTTGTGACCACGGCTGGGCGCAGCTCGGAAGACTGGCCAGGCGAGATCCTGTGGGGGCCAGAGGGATCGATTTTGGACGTGCTCTCTGCGAACCCCCTCGCGTCGCGAGCAAAGTCAAGGCGGAATGTTCCCGCCAGTGTTCGGCCTCTTGGAGGTTCCCTTTCTTGTTGGCCACGGGAGAATGTTATATTTTATTGCGATCATGGGTGTGACTTTTGGGGAAGAATCGGGGGGTAGAGGGGGGGAGAGTGAGGGCTCCGGTCACGTCACGCGCCGTCTTGGAATGCCCAAGCCAAGAATGGCTAGTTCCCCGACGGCGCCAGCGCGAGTCGTGACGTGACCAGGAGGGGGCCGGTCACGGGCATTATCGCGAATAATGGAGAAGCGGGTTCTGCGAAGCCAGACCCTGGGGTCGTCGAGATACGACTCGTGGCGATAGGCCCGTCATGAGTCATGGGTCGAGGCGTCAGGGGGCCCGCGTCGTGAACAGAGTCTGGCAATTTGAGAGGTAGCAGTTGGGCTTTCGGCGTCGACCTTACCTTCCGAGGCTCGATGTGACCCGTGCAAAGAGCGCGGGAGAAAGCTTGCGCGATACCTGGCGAGCAGCCCCAGCGAAGCTCCTTTTTTCTCTCCTGAGTGCATGTCGGGTTCGTCGGTGTACTTCTAGGCGGGAAGAGAGAGTGTGAGAGAGAGAGAGAACACACGAGAGATAAAGAGGCCGAGCGAGAAAGAGAGAGAGAGAGGAAGAACATACACATTCACGCACACATGCACACATGCACATATGCACGCATTCACACATCCACGCATTCACACATTCACGCAATTACGCATTCACACATTCACACATTCGCGCATTCAAATATGCGCACATTTACGCACGTACATACACACATACCTACATATATATATATATATACAGACACACCTCTCTATATGTACGCGCAGCCCCACCCCCAGCACCACTTCATGTCATTGTGCATCGGTATTTGAGCTCTTCATTCGTGTTAGTACTGATCATCTGCCGTCTGTTCATTCGTGCATGTTCATCCATCTTTCCTACTCGTCATGTCTCCGTTGTTTTCTCGTGTTGGGATCTAATTGGGATCAGCTGGATGTGGGATCTCCTCCATTCCACTTGGGCACAGCTTGATCTGGGATGTGCCCACTTCCAATTGCATTCTGATCATATTCCAATCGGAATCTAGTTGGAATCAGCTGGACCACGCCCCCCCCCCACCGAACAAATTTCGACCCCCTCAGGTGCCCAATAATGACGCCCCCTAAAAGGTCCAATACGATTCCAAGACGGCCCACGAGCGCTCCAAGACGACTTCAGATGGCCCCAAGACAATTCAAGAGATTCCAAAAACGTCCAACATGGCATCCAAATAGCTCTAAAACGGTCCAAGAGGCCCTCACAAGACGCCCCGAATTACCTGATTAAGAGAACGCCAAACAAAGCCACATCGCTCCATTCCTAATCGCTCCAAAACTGATCCAGAGGCCCTCGCAAGGCCCCAAGAGGGCCCCAAGACAGCCCCAGAGAGCCCCACGACTGCCCAAGATAACCCCAAGACGGCCCAATAGAGCTCCGAGACGGCCCAAGACGGCCCCCAAAGGCCCCCGAAAAAGCTCCAAGGCAGCCCCAGGAAGCCCCCAGCTGAACCCCACGACGGCCAGAAACCCCCGAGGCAGCCCACAAGGGCTCCAAAACGGTCCAAAAACGCCCTACGACGGTCCAGAAGGGCGTCTAAGAAAACCCGGAAGCGCCCAATAACAGGGGCTCGCCTCCCACTCCGTTCGTGCTTCCCCGTTGTGTGCTCGCGACTGTTCCAGAAGCTGGGACCTCATGGGGCTGGCGGGTTCGGACCTATTAGATGGATCCCTACACAGGTTCAATTCTTCACACGGGGCTGTGTCTGGATGTCCTATCGCACGGATGAAAGGCATGTGAATGAAACAGAAACATCACGTATGCATGATGTTCGGTTTGGATATCCTACAAGTGGTATGTTTTAAGTTTTTCTTTGGAAAATCACATTTCGCTATTCACTTGCAATTTGCTATGCCTATGTGATTGCCGTTGGACATATTGACTTTTCGCACCTTGCATAGTATGTATTGCTAGACGCGGTTCAGGATTGCGCCCAGGGTAGCGGTGAAGGGCCCCAAAAAACTTCAAGCATAACCCAACAGGCATCCAAATACCTCCGGAGCCCCCAGACATTTCTCGCGAGATTCCCCGGAAACTCCTCCAAGGAGGAGGCCACGCAGCGACATCTGAAAATGGTAGCAGGGACGCGTTCGCAAACGGCGAGTAGAAATGAAGAGGGATGATGAGGGTGTGATGATAGATAACATATGTGTAGCAACGATGGATGTTGCGAGCGACAACAAGGAACCTTCGTCCTCTTGGGTCATATCTCTTCCTCTCTCTCTATCTCTCCCTCGCTCTCTCTCTCTCTCTTTCTCTCCCTCTCTCCCTCTCTCTCCCTCTCCCTCTCGCTCTGTCTCTTCCTCTATCTCTCTCCCTCTCTCTTTTTCCTTGGTTTGTCTCTTTCTCTCTGTCTCTCTCTTTCTCTCTTCTCTCGCTCTCTCTCTCTCTCTCTTTCTTTATTTCTTTATGTATGCGTTTCTTCATTTATAGTTTTTGTTTGCTTCTTTTTGTTTGTTATACGTCTCTCATGTTCTATATATATATATATATAGATCTCTCTCTCTCTCTCCCTCTGTCTCGCTTTCTCTCTCTCTCTCTCTCTTTCCCTTATAGATATGTCCCTCACGTTTTTTTGTTGTTGCTTCTCTCTCTCTCTCTCTTTCTTTCTCTCTCTATCGCTCTCTCCCTGTCTTTCTTTCTCTCCCTCTCTCTCTCTTTCTCTCTTTCCTTTTTTGTTTCCCTATGTCTCTCTCTCTCTCTCTCTCTTTCATTGTCGTTATTATTCCTTGTCTCTTTCTCTGGCTTTCTCCCGCCCGTCGTGTGCGCGCCGATCCTGAAGGGCCACGGCGCGTGTCGCGAAACGCCGATTCATTTTTGCAGTGTGTTTAGAGAGAGAGAGTGAACATAAGTAAACAATTGCTATAGATAGAGTGAGGGAGAGAGAGAGAGAGAGAGAGACAGAGAGAGAAACAACAAAGAGAGAGAGAGAGAGAGAAAAGAGAGAGAGAGAGAGGAAGCGAGAAGGAGAGAGAGAGAGAGAGTGAGACAGAGAGAGAAAGAGAGAAAGATATATATATATATATATATATATATAATGAGAGAGAGAGAAACATAGAGAGAGAGAGCGAGTGAAAGAGAGAGAGAGAGAGAGAGAACCATAGAGAGAAACACTATTACAAAACCAGCCAGATAAAAGGCAGCGGTTTGATCCTTTCATTGCAAACAATTCCGCAGGCCGTTCTCCGTCCGTCCATCGCATTCTGCCTCCTCCTTTTGTGTTGCGGTATACGGCCGGTCTCGCGTGGCAAGGGCGTCAACGGAGCTGGCGAAGGTGTTTTGTTCCCCGTGCTTTGTCTCATTTTGCGACGCGCTGGGCGCCTACGGCCATGACGAAACAAATTAGCATGGGATCATCCACGGGGATGAGATTTCTCTCGCGTCGCGGGGTGCACGTCCAGAGCACGTTCAATCCAGCCGTTGCGGGGCCTGGTGGGGACCTCTTCGGGGCCTCTTGGAGGCCCCTTGGGGGCCTCTTGGGGGTTCTTGGGGGCTGCTTTGGGGCCTCTTGAGGCCGTCTTGAGACCGTCTTGGGCCGTCTTGAGGTGCTCTTGCGCGGCTTGGCCCCACGGCAGGCCGTCCTGTGGGCCTCTCGCGGCTCCTCTGGGGCTCTCTGGGGCCTCCTTTGGGCTT